TGGAGCCAGCATTTGAATTTCCCACTGTCCAGACCAGAAAGAGCTGGAAATTTCGCTCAATTATGAGGTTTCTTGTTTCTGTGGTAGGATTTGACCATCATCTTTTCCTACTCATAGCAAAAGAGCAAGGAATTTCTGTGCCCGAACTCTTCATAGAGCATGCAGTCACTAGAGGGTAACTACTAGTCTAGGCTATGGGTTTTTCTGTAGAATCAGAGATTACAGATAAGGATATATTTTCATTTTCTTGGGCCTTGCATCGCTCAGAAGTAAACTGTAAAATTGTTATCTGAACTTCTTCCCTATTTTTGTTTGTTTGTTTCCTGATTGTATTAATATCAAAGGTAAAGGTAGGTGTCAAGGCTGAATCCCTACTCTGTCACTCCGAGTGCAGGAAGTAGGGGCCCGCAAGGATTTTAAAAATTAATACTTGCCAATCCAGGCTTGTATTAAACTCCCAAAGTTACAGCTTTTCTCTGACCTTGGCTTGATAAACGCTGCCACCACCCAAATGCAAAACACCAACCCTATGAACCCAGGAAGGAGCGCTTGGGAATTCCTCTCTGTTGGATACCCTCAAACCCTTTAACACACACCCCTCTCGGGAAAGAAAACAAAGGAAATTAGCTGTGGTGATCAGCTAATCAACCAACATGCACAAACCTTTTAGGACACCAAAAATCCAATCCTGTTCTTTAAAAAAGTAAATTTTATAAAAATAAAAAGAAAATACATCTGGAACTTAGGCATTTGCTAGATTTTAAAAGAGCAATTCCAAAAATTAAGCACCCAAAATAGCTTTCTTGGGGGTTCAGTTTAAAGATTACAAGCAAACAAAAGCATCTGGGATTAGCACAGAGTAGATCCATAAGCCAATAAGAAATAAAACAAATAACCCTAATCACATCTTTTTAGACATTCCCTAATTTTACTTACATATCTGAGGCTCAATATAAGTAGGTTCAAGCTTTGAATTGATAATCTGTAATCATACCTGACTTAAAGCTACTTACAGCATTACTACCCTGCAGTCCAGAGAGAACAACAGACAAAGAGAAAGTTTCTTTCCCCATTTTAAAAAGTTCTAGCCTTCCCATTGGCTCTTTTGATCAGGTGCCCATCTTTTTTTTCTTCTTTACCTGTGGGATTTTTAACCGTTTACAGGTAAAGCAAATAAAGAACAGCTACCAAGAGGGATTTTGCAGCTAACTGGCTGGCTGGGTGTCCATCAAAGGGAACTATCCCCCCACTTTATTTATCACAGCAGGTCACAGCAGGGAGAAGGGAAAAAGAGGTTGAAAGGAATGGTTTGAGGAAAATGCATAAAAAGTGGGACAGATGAAATAGAAAGAAAGACAGAAACAGTGTATGTTTGAGTGGGGTAACAAAAGGAGGAGTGAAAGAAGCACCAGGATACACAATCAAATGACAGAAAAGAGGAATAAAGAGAAGGAGAAGGAAGGACAGATAAAGGTGACAAGTATTTTAAAATAAATGTTACATAATAGCAAGCTTAAAGGTAAAATGTTCAATTAAATCAATCTATTTATCTAAAAAAGTAAAATGGGTTATGAGAGCCTAAATGGGGCTATGCATACTGCAGTTGCCTTAGGAAAGCAACATACTGGGTCTGGCCCAGCTTAGTAATAAAGCTAAAAGATTTGTCTTCGTTGCAATAAAAAATTAACCCTGAAAAAGTCAGGCTTATTTTCATTACTAGTATTGACATAAATACTTCCTAGCCAAATGTATTAATTAAACAAATGTAATCACTGAAGTGTTCTTATTAAATTTATAATGCATTGATATTTCACAATTTGGGGTGTAGTCATTCAACACAGCTAACCCATTTATGAAAAATTTGATAACTGTGAATATGCATTTTTGTACCATTTCCATTCCATTTTGAAAATACAAACTGTATTTTTCCTTAGATCATTGTATCTGTTTGCTTCTTTTATGGCTCTAGTCCATAAGAGAGAATATCCAAAATCTTAAAGCTAGTTGCAGTGAAGGAGGACACTGGACTACAAATGTAAATGACTGAAGTTAGGTACATAAACCCACAGTGCATAGGTGTTGGAGAATGTACATGTCCTACTGAAGTCAATGAGACCTCTTTGTGCTTGATCAGGACAATTTTATGTAGGTGCCTAACTTTGACACCACATTTCAAAATCTGGCCCAACAACAATTTGTGTGTGTGTGTGTTAGTTAATCATGAACTAAAATAATTAATTAACCTTTTACACTGATAGGACAGCTGTGGCCAGCATTGTCTGAAAATCATGCCCAGTGACAGATGCAAAAATGCTGTGTAAGAACTTGTTACAGGTTCTTCAGGACATCATACAATTAATGACTATATCCCACCTTTACAGCTGATGGTGACATTTCAATATTGTTCATTATTGTATATAGCATTTGCTGAATGAAATGCTAGTTGCGAGGAGGGGTTAAATTCTATGTATAACCCTTAATGATAGTTCAGCATGGACATTTAACAGAACTAATGCAAAACCTGTCCATTTTTATGGGATTTACTGCAGCAACAATGCAAATTTCTTTTAAGAATTTGCTCTAACACTGCAATCTATGTCATATTATCAACGTAGAACTATGTAATATTAAACTGTGCCTCAACAACACAAACATATCAGACTACCAGGATTTTGGAAAATGAAGAATTTGTAATGGCTATTTTTTATTAACTTCCTAGTGGTAGCTGATAGAGTATGTTGTAATTGGATGTGTTTGTTTATTTCAGTGGAGCACTTATTCTGCACCTGAGAGTAACTGTTCCAGTGCTAATAGGATATGGTGTTTTTAAAATGGACATTGGTAACAGTTTTTATTAATTTTCAATTGTGGAAGACCCAAGGTGAAATTAGAATAACAGGCTGTCTTCAAGTTATAAATAATTGTTATTAATGTCTATCTTCCATTTTCATCATTGGGATTATTCTAATCAATGGTTTATGCATGAATAGGGAGTTTTTCTCAGGTGAAGGGCGAAGAAGCTACACTTTTAAAATATAGTTTTAAATTCAGAGTGCTCCTTTTCTCAAAATAATGAGAGGAAGCTAGAATGTTACTTGCAAGTTTCCAAGGGATGACATACTTGTGATAAATTAACTACAAACATCAATGCTGCTCCACAGAAATAAAGTGCACATTTAAAGCTGACACTAAGTTTAAATTCTGATGAGATTCTCAGGATTTAAAGCTATCTTTGTATTTTAAAGAAGACATTTGTTTGATTAACTTGGTCATTTTATCTTACAAATAAAGCCCATAGCATGCGGGTTGATTGGTTTAAAGATATACTGCTTTACGCATAGCAACCAGACTTTCTAAAAGGGGAGATCTTGTGTACAGATGATGAAACTAACTTAGCAAATATTCTAAAATCACCACCGTTTACCCTTCTTAGAAGTGTGGGAGCTCCTGGAGACATCAGAGATTGTTTATTATTAGAAGCAGTAGTAATATAAAAGCACCTAGAGCCCGCAACTGTGATCAAAAACCCACTGTGCTAGGTGCCGTACGATAGTGGGGCAGTAGCACAATTATAGTTAAAGTGGAAACTAGTTTACTGTTTAAATGGCTAATTTTCCTAAGTGCTCTACAGTAAACGCTAGGGAATATCTATACTTCAAGCGCTACAGTGGCACAGCTGCAGCGCCGCTGTAATGTAGATAGATGCTTCTACAATGTCAGAAGGGGTTTTTCCATTGCTGTACTAAATCCACCACGTTAAGGGGCAGTAGCAAGGTCGATGGAAGAATTCTTCTGTCAGCCAAGTGGTGTCTACACCAGAGCTTATGTCAGCTTCACAGTGGAGGAGTGAGGAACAAAGCTGGGAACCTCACAAGCCAAAACACCTGGATAGAAATGGGATAGAGGCCATTTTGAAAAGGTGGCTGCTTTGCTAACAAAGGGCCATACCATTGGCATCTATAAGCAGAACTTGCTGGAGAGAGTGACGGCAAGACAGTATCTGCCTGAGGACGCTGACCAGAACCAGGATTCCCAGACAGGGTGAGATTGGACCAGGGGGATTGCATTCAGGACCGTTTGTTGATTTCCATAGATCTGTAACTTCCTTTTGCTTTAACAATAAAGTGATTGTGGTTAAGAATTCCTTTGCTAAGCCTGTGTTCATTGCTTTGCTGCCAGGTTGTCCCTGAAGGGTATAACTAGAAAACCAGAGCTGTGACAACTAAGTGGACTCTGGGGGAACCTGTCTAAACCACTGGCCTTGGCATAGCTGGGGCACTAGTTCTGGGGTCTAGGTGGCCAGATTCTGGTGCCTCCCTTCCCAAGAAGGATGGCACATGCACCTGGCAGTGTGCCCGAGAGATCACTGTTACTAGCTCCGAATCAGTCACTACCCAAACTCAGGGAGGCTTAGAAGCACATGGGATTTAGGGATTGGATCCATTTACAACAAACTTGTATCCATCCAGACTAGAGGGAAACGGGGCCAGGTTGTGACAACAGGTTAAGACAGTGACAGAACCAGT